TGAACTGCAGGAGATTGTCTTGACCATGTCTACATGCCTAAATGCACTGAGTTGCCGCCATGTGATTGGCTGCTTAGAAATTAAGTGTTAACGAGCAGTTGGACAGGTGTACCTAATAAAGTGGCCGGTGAGTGTATTTTCTCTCTATAGACTGTTCTGGGATTTTTTTTTTATAATTCCAGATGCAAGCAAGTTTTTGAGGGCAAGTTTTCAGGTAATGTTTATTACTCTAAATTCTAACACCTACCTCAGGTCTTTCTTGCTATTTCCATTTGTTGTCTATTTTCTAAGATTTTTTTCTACTGGTCTTAATGATGCCAAGATAGATTTTTACTCACATCTCTTCTGATCTGGTGCACTCTGGTCATTTGCTGTTGGATCTGCATCTTGTAGAGTAGCTCCTTAAAACCAACCATGGATAAGTAATAAACCTGTAAGAAATAAAAGAAAAAATCACCCAAGAGAGGGAATGCCTTGCTCAATTTTAGATTATGTCAGCTGTGATTTAATTTGGTTAGTGACCTACATCCAAGGGACTCTGAGAGCCAAAGTAGGTAGAACGATTTAGACAGTAAATATATGTGGGAAAAACAAAGATGTTGTGGAAGATCATTTAAATCTAAGATGGTTTATGAGCTCTTTGGATAAAAAAAATAATATACATATCCCAAATTACTTCTCTATGTCAAGGTACTCCACCATAACTCATTCCAAAAAAGTAAAAAATATAATCCACTGAAATTGGTTCCCTAGTTTGAAGATGTTTCACTTCCCATCCAGGAAGGTTTTACAATTGAAAAAGGTGATGATCTCCTCCCCAATATCCTAACTGTGCGGTAGAGTGATAGATCAGGTGATGGGATGCAAAGAACTGGGAATTGGGGTTCTCCAAGGGAACCAGCTTTCCCCACTGACCCTGAACAGCACCCTGTTCTCCACCCTCTACCAGGGAAGCAGGGCGCCAAACATCGGGGGTAAACCACAACCCAGCCCGGTAAACCCAGCCCCCTACCACCACTCCCCAACCCCCAACTGCAGGTTCAATGCCCCTCCCCCACCTGGAAAGGGAGAGGCAGTCCACGGTCACCTGACTCCGCAAGATGGATTTGCTCCTCATATCCATCTGGAAACCTTCCGTT